TTATAAAAGAAGGCAATTAAAAGTTAATAACATTTTATCTAATGAACATAAGCAAAAATCTTTAAGTTGTAGTGAAAAGTGACAAGATTTAGTAAACAAATAACACAGTGAAAAATGTACAGAAACGTAAGAAATTTTCCATTAAATTATTTTCGTTATTACATAATAAAAGATAATAAATTAAGAAACGAAAAAAAAAAAAACAGTGATCAAATTTTTAATATATTAATTAACACAGAAGTAATGTTTGCTTTGCAAAGATAATTTGATTAGTGATAAAATTACATTTGAGCACTTATCAATTATTCAAGGTAATAAGTGATAGTGTAACAAAGAGCATTAACAACAACAACAAAAACAATCGAACAATGTTATCAATGAGTGGGACAGATAAGGAAGAACAAAGGTCACAAGCACAGATCACTGATAAAATTATTCAAAACCAACAACCATTTGTGACAAAATCACCAAAAGTAGAAATGAATGCAAGAAAAGGAAAAGAATTATTAAAACAGAGTATTGCAACTTCATCGGTACTTTTTCTCCTAATACTTTCTTTTTTTTCAGGTATTATTTAACACTGAAATATCATAAAATTTAATTTTATGAATTCATTTTTTTTTTTTTTGATTTTTAATATTAAATAATTTTAACATATTTTAGAAGTATATTAAATTCTTTTTAACTTCATGTTATCATTTTATTACTTACTTAATCATTCTTTTTAGGATGCAGATTTATTATCAGTAACAACAATGATGAATACAATTATGAAGCAATCAGTTAATCATCCTGAACAATTTACTGGTTTCTGCTTTCTTATTTTTTTTTTAATTTTTAAATAAATTATGAATTTCCTACTAGGACTTTTGGGTTGAATTTAAATTTAAATTTTTATAACTGAAAACCCTACTTTAAGAAATAAAAAAAAATACGACACTTTCAATGCCAGTATCACAAATACACCAATATTACTGTTCCAATCATTTGAAATTAAATCGAAGTAATAATAATTCATTATCACTACCGTACAGTAAATTTCAGATAATGAAGTTAGTAAACAGTTTCAAGAATTTCAGACCTGGATTAAATAACTTTTATTTAGTGACCGCAAAAATTGCAGGAAATTATTTAATAGATTAGAAAAAAGTTTTTTTTCAATATTTATTTCCAGCAAAGCATAAAATACAATCTGAGCATTCAGAAGTTGACATTGTAAATGACGGTGATGTCACTTCAGTTGACATGATAGCAAATCGAAATCATGATAAATCTATAACACAAGCTGATGGTAATGAAAAAGGTTGGGAATTTCAAGTGCTCTCAAATTAAATAAATGCCACTATTTTTTAATTTCAAATTATTTTTAAATTATAATATTATTAGATAGATGGATATAATTAATTTAATTAATACATTATATTGCATAATGTGAAATTTTAGCATAAATATAGCTGAGTAAAATTTTGGCTATCTTTTTACTTTAACAATTAATAATTAATAATTAACCTTCATAAATTATTTTAATAATTGTAATACAAACAAAAAAAAAAGAATATGCAGGATTATAATGTGAAATAAAATGACTTTCCTCCTTTTTTTCAATTTTCATTTTAATTAGAATAAATTTTTTTCAAACGAAATAAGAAAATAAAATGCTTTAAATTATCATTTTGGTTTTTTCTTTCACTTAAATCATTATCAGTTATTATCAGGTACTGAGCAAGATCCAACATTATCAATGATTCATGATGGAAATGATAAACAAGAATTAGAATCAATGGTAGGTGATATAACAACAACAGAAGGGATAGAATCAGTACAGAGTGAACTGGAATTAAAATCACAATCAGTACAACAAGAAGGCGATTCAGAAAGTGGTGATTCAATTAAGGAACAAAATAATGATAATGATAATTTGGAAGGTTATCTTATCTTTTTTAGTGAAATTATAACTACGCATGATAATTTGGCAAATATTAACAAAAAAAAATATATATATATTATTTTTTAAAATGAAATTTCTTTTTTTTTTCAGTTGTACATAATCAAGATGAAATACAATCTGAAACAAGTACGAATGATAAGAGTGATATGATTGTTGAGGAAATTGATAAAAATATGGAACAACGAGCTTCTGATAATTTTCCAGTGGCATCTTCAGATGGTTTGAGTATTTTGTTTATTACACATTTTCTTAAAATTTTTAAAATTAGCGATTTAAATTTAATCTTAGTGGAGACATAAACTAAAATAATAAATGAAATTAAAATAAGCTTAAAATAGATCAAATTTTACTTATTTTAGCACAAACAACACAGGAAATGGTGGAAATAATGGACGGATCAATGCCGATAACAGATGAATCAAAAGTGGAAATGAAAAATATATCCATGGATGATCAAAAGAAAATTATAAATTCAAAAAGTTCATCTATTAAAAGTACCTTAAAGCATTAAAAAAAAATTTGTATTCCAGATGATGAAAACATTTTTTCCTGTTTTTGAATTATTTAAAGTCGAAAAAAAAACCGAATACCGAATAATTTTGAAAATTAAAACTTGAAAAAATTTTTAAAACATAGTCAAAATTTTTAATTTTTGAGATAAAGGTAAGTTAGGCTTTTTGATATCAATTAAGCATTTTCTTTGGCCGATATCTCTCCACTATTACTATGACAATTTATGTTTAGCTAATAAAAAATATCATTTGTTATCAGAAAGATAAACATTATCACTCGAAATTAAAATTGAAATCAAGATTTCAAGCATTTAATGCAAACGAAAAATTTTTCCATTTTTTATACAACGCAAGGAGAAATGATGAACTATCTGTGTCATTCATTTGCACATATTATCATTGCAACAATTAGGATACCTTATAATTAAATACTTAATTAATTAACTAATCACAAGCAATATGATTACTACAATCATCATTGCTACTATTATTTGTATTCTCAGTTTATTGATCTCCTTGGGAGTTGTATTATCTTTAATCATAATATTTGTGAACAGGAATTTATCACTGATTGAATAGTTTATTTTGTTTTTTCCTTCTTTTTCTTGTTATTTCATCCCTCCTTTAAAAATGTGACATATCTAAGATTTTCTAAAATTTCATCCAATTAATCTTTTGACATGAACTTTCGAAATTGTTTTTTTTTTTTTTTTTTAACTATAAAGTTATGTTGTATAAGTTTACTTATTGTATACGCCTATTTTCATTTTATTTACACAATTATTCCATGCAATAAAATTTTTATAAATACTTTTTGTTTACAAATACACTTTAAAATATGATCATTTTTGGATTTTCATCTTTTAAATGCAATCGATGAAATAATAATTATATTCTTTAATATAGCCATTCAAATTCATTTCTTCGATTTACAAGCATACTTCCATTTCATAAATAATTTTATACAATAAAATTTTTGTAACTATTTCTATTTGCAAACATCTTTCTATCTTACTTAAGCAAACTAATATCACAAATAATAAGTCTTGTGACACCTCATATTACTGTGCAAATGTACAGTAAATCGATTTCTTCAATTCAAATATTTAATCATTTGATTTCTTCCATATTTAAAATGTTATCAAAAATGATTTATGTCCTTAAACATAATTATTTAAAGTTTGTTACGCCTGTGAGTGGATTTAAACAAAATAAAATGACAAATGTCAAAGTTTTTTGCGATACTGCATACTGTAATGCTATATACCGTAATACTACGCTTCATACTGTAAGTGTCTCATAAATTATTTTATTTTCAAATTATTAGCATATTTTATAAAGTATATTTTGTTTAAAGAACATATTATATGATATTTTTATCAACAATGCCTTAAAATAGAATTATTTTCAAGAATAAGAGAAATGACATACTGTTAATACTACGATATTGTATGAAGGAATTACGGTAAGATATTGTCACATCGAATGAATAAATTCTAAGTGAATAAATTATATCAGTAATATATACAAAGATATTTTACTGATAGCATATTTTCAAGAATAAATGAACAAATAAACTTCAATTCTATTCATAATTTCAATTTTACATAAATTACATATTGAATAAGAAAATTTAAAAATAATAATTAAATATGTACAACAGTATTTTTTCTATTCAAGAAATTTATGATTACTTGGAAGCAAACATATAAAGGCAAACTTTAAAGTTTAATTTTAAAAAAATTAAAGGAAAAAAATTGTTGGAGCAACTTTTGAAGTATTTTTAATTTACTAAGATATTTTGACATTTTCATGAAATATATGCGAGACTAGAAATGGGTAAATTTTTTTTATTTTAGAGTTTTACAACAATCGAAAATAATTGATCCTTTTTTCTAGAAAAAAGTTTACTTGATCTATTTTTATAGACCAAGCATCACTGATATGATACAAACTTACACTTATTCATTTACCTGTTTATTTAATATTTGACCAATTTGAATAAAAAAAATATTAAAGATTTTTTTTATATCGTAATTCTTATTGCTCTGTTAATAATTTCGCTATTATTTTTTTTTAAACCAAAAAAAAAAAAACAAAACAAAAAAAAAAAAAATTAAAAAATTTGATTTATGATATTAATATGTTAATAGTTGTTAGAATTCAAGGTAACGAGATATTTTTCTATCAATTATTAAATTTTATATATAATTGTTCAAAGTGCTATTATTAATTTTTTCATCATTTTATAGTAATTTCAAATATAATTACAAGCATGATTAATTAAAACCAAAATTGAAAAATGGAAAAATTTTCTTAATTTCTAAAAAGTTGCAAAAAAATATTAAATATAATCAATTGGTGAAGCAAATATAAGAACAATTTTCTATCAATCAAATATCATATTCATATAGATTTCAATCAGAAGAATTATTGATAATTATATCAAAATCTGCTGCTCACTTTACATACCAGTAATTTCAAATTACCCTTAGAAAAAAAAAAATTAAACATTAAAATTTAAATTTTTAATAAAATTATTACAAATGTAACATCCATTCGTTTCTATCATTTTCTTCCACATTCACTTTACTCATTGTCTTTGCGATTGTTATCTGTAAAAATAAAAATAAATATTACATTTCTTTATTCGGAAAATTTTTGCTAAAAATCTTTTCAATTTATAAACAATTTTGGTTAAATTAAACTACTCAAAATTTAAAAAAAAAATAATTTTTTTAAATATCAAATTTTGATCAATTTCAAAAAATTTTTTAATACATGTTGCTAAATTTTTTTTGTATAAATATTTTTGTACACATTATCTTTCTTTGAATATTTTTTATTTTTTGATTTAATTTTAGATTATCATTCCCATTTACATAGTCTTCCTGCTAGAAATAAATTCCGGAACTAATTTGCTCCTCTTACTTCCATCCGTTTTCCCGTTCTTTTTTCTTCTTCATTCCCCGATTTCCAGTTTATCTCAAATAAAAATTTATAATTCAATGATCGTACAAAATTTGAAAATTACCATCGATTCCGGACTATTAACGATGCCATGCTGTATTTTTGTTACAGCAAATGAAGTTTTTTTCAATAAATCATCATTCAATGTTGTCTAAAATTATAAATCGATAATTTGTTAAATAGATTAAATTAAGCAAATTTATATTTAAAAAACTGAAATTGAAGTAATAATTTATGTTTAAACAAATAATTTCATAAATAAATTGTAACTTACTGGGATTATAATATTATTTTAATTTTCCTCCTAAATAATAATAATAATTGGAAATTTATAAATAATATACTTCAAAATAATAATAATAATAATGCTAATGTTTTTAATATGATGCTATTTAATTTAAATTCATAGATAGAAGAAAAAAAAACTGAAATTTCCATTTAAATGAATAAAGACAGAAAAAAATAAATAAATAAAAACAAATGATTTATAAGAAAGTGATATGTTGTTACCTTAAGTTTACTTTGTCGTGGTATTGGCACTGGTCGTTTCGGCTCTTTTCCAAAACTTTTATTTTCAATCTAAAAATTTTGAAGTTTATTAAATTTGAATAAAATAAATATAATTCATTCTAGAGAATATTTATTACCCAAATTTGCGCATATTCATTAAAAGTTTGCAAACAAATAATGTGCTAATTATTTTTATTCCTAAAATGTAATCAAAAAATTTTCTTGCATCGTTTAATTTTTGAATAAATAAATTATTTATTCGTATAATGAATAAAGCTGTAATATTATAGCAAAATATAAAACTGAAATTGTAATATTGTAATATATGAAATTTAAATTGTATTTTTACATTGATATAAACATGAAAATAAAAGAAAAAGAAATAATTATTATGTAAATTGTTAAATTATTAAACATGAAGGATAAACATAAACCTCAGGAATATCAGTAGTGACTGTCGCTCTTTTCATGCAATCAATTTGTCGTGGTGCCGGTTTAGGACGTATTATAATTCGTGTTGTTTCCGGAATAGACAATGATGATGATCGATTAATGGATGTAGGAGGATGTTGATGAATAATGTTAGAGATTGATTTGTTTGTAATGTCATTCGATTCTTTGTTAGTTGAAGTGGAAAACATTGAAGTACTACGCTGCATTATTCTTTTATCCGAAACGGAACCGTAGCTATTGCGCTTAAAACACGTACGTTGTGGTGGTACTGGTTCTGAATTTCGATCATTTTCTAATTTCGATACATCTAAATTTGCTTGTCTTTTAGGATCGCTTCGCCATTTTACATTATCATTATGATTACAAGTAACGTGTGATAAAGCGGTTGAAGTATTATCAGCAAAAAATTTTCCTTTATCAATAACAGATTCCTTTTGTTGCTGTTGTTGTTGCTGTTGTTGTTGTTGTTGTTGTTGCTGATGATGATGATGATGAAATATATGTGAAGAATCCTAAAATATGTTCTCATTTCAAGAATTTATAACAGTGATAACAACAAAATAACAGTAAATAATAAAAACAAACTTATCAGTAATAACAGTAAAACAAGCTTATCAGTGACTTATCAAAAGGCGTACTTATTACCATGATGTGATTTTTTTTTTCTTTTCATGACATTGAAATGAACAATTTTGATTCTATATAATTATATTTGATTTATGATTATCATATTTGACACGATTGAAATGAACTACTCTGATCACATAATCAATTATCATTATCATATCCAATATAGTTCAAATGATTTATTCTGAGCATATATATATAACTATAATTAATCATAATTGTCACATTTTACACCATTAAAATAAACTTTCTAATTCAATATCACCTATATTTAGTCATATTTGAAAAAAAAAAAAAAAAAAAAAAAGAGAAAACTAATAATTCTTACTTCGTTCGCTGATTTTGTTGTACCATTTTTGCTTTCACTAATTACTGTCATTGCAATTGGTCCATTAAAGGATGTTTCCAAGTATCTTTCATTACCATTTTGTTTTAAATTTTCATAAATATGATTTGCTGTCGAATACTGCACTGCAGGTAAACATTGTTGATTTAAATCTTTTGAATTAATATCAACCGTTGTTGTTGTTATAGGAGTAGTAGCATTAGTTGTTGTTGTTGTTATTGATTGAAAATTTGTAGAGGATTGTATATCATCAATTTTAATAATTGTTGATAGCATTTCAGAATTTGATATTTTCTGTTGTTTCGATTGAATTTTTGAGTTCTTATCCACAGTTATGATAATATTTTCTTTTCGATTATCAGCTAATGATATATCAGATGAATGAGTTACTACTTGATTTGATGATGATGGAAGAAGCCATTTTTGTTCTCTCTCATCCGAAGTGCTCGGTTTTGGAGTTGGAAGTGATTTCTTCAATACCGGTTTTGGTGATGCTGGTGGACGCTTATGAAGTGAATAATTTTCATAATTTCGTTTCTCAGCAATAATTTCAGCTATTGATTTGCCATCATTAAGACCAAAAATATTGACACCAATAAGTGATGGTTTTGATGTGATTTCCGGATCAGATATGCATAATGAAGCTTTTGCCTTCGTGTTACCTTCATTATCGGATGTGAAATCGGAATCCTGATTGATTATAGTTGAATGTAATTTTGATGGCATATTTCGCATTTTAAACTGTAATTGCTTTGAATCAAGTATTTCAACTAACTGTTTCACTGATTTCTTATCTTTTAGTTTCGTTGTTTCATTCTTCTCTTCAAATATTTCAACATTGCATTTTTCTGGATTTGAAGAAGTTAGAGAAGTTTCAATGGCAATTTGCTCATCCAATACATCATCCAACTGTTTCAGTGCTTGTTGAATTTCAATCTGATCTTTGAAATCGATAAGCTTTTTCTCAGAACTATTTGCATCCGTTTTCATTGAGTTGACAGTTATAGCATCCTGTTGATTCTCATACAATGATGATGTCATCTGTTCGGTTTTTTGAGAAATGATAGCATCACAGGTAGATTCTTTATTTTTAAGATTAGCATACTGAGATTGTATCGGTGTTGGTTTGAACGGTGAAACGGATGATACTGTTTCGATCGAATCTGACGATGAAACTGATGTAAGCTTTTTATGTTTCGGTAACATTAGGAAACTTTTGATGCTATTTTGATTATTTATTTTTTTGCAATTTGATTTTAAACTATGCGGTATCGATTGATGTTTCTCATCATTTGACATTTTTCGGCTACATTTCAAATTTAATTTTAAATTATCTCGTTTCAGCACTGATTGTTTCTCATTTACCGCACAAGATGATACAGTAAAAGTATTCAAATTATCATATGTTTCAATATCATTAATGTAAACTGTAACATTTTTAGAATTATTCTCCTGATTTTCCACGATTGATTCCACATACAATTCTGTAATATTATTATCATTATCAGTAGATGTAGTAGCATTAATAGCATTACTATCCGTATTAGCGATATTTTTCTCGATCATATTGAAAATATTTCTAATAATTGGATCATGTGATAATTCTGTCGCAACAAAATTATTAGCATTCGATTGTATATCTTCAATGTGTACTAAATGCCTGAAAATTTTATTGCATTCATTTAAAAAGCAAAATGAAAAAGAAAAGAAAAAATTATTTGAAACAAATGAAATTCGAGAAATTACAACAATGATCGCTAAATAATATTTTAATGACTGAAATTTTAAGGAAAACTGAAAAAATTTTGAATGAAATTTTAAAAAATAAAAATAAGGAAAAAAAAAACGAATACTCGAAATGTGTTGGTGTTGATACCTCTTCCGGTTTTACTTTTGCTGTTTTCCGTAATAGCTTTTTGTTGATAACTGAAGCAAAAAAAAAGAAAGACGGAAATTATATCATAAATATCTGTAATTGTAGTAAATTGTGGGATTTACTACAATTAAATCATATAATAATTACAGCAACAATTAATAATAACGAGTAATAACAATATTGGCTTTTAACGAAGATAAGTGATGATATTAATGATAGTGAATGTTATTATTATCATTATTATTATTATGTTAATAGCCATATTAATTCTGATAACAATATGTTTTACTCATTATCGGTGCTGATAATAATATGTTTTACCCATTATCAGTGCTGATAACAATACGTTTTACCCATTATCAATGCTGATAACAATATGTTTTATCAATTATCAGTGTTGATAACAATATGTTTTATCAATCATCAACGCTTATAACATTATATTGTTATTAAAAAAACTATTTTAAAAAAGTATATTATTGCTAAAAAAAAGCAATATTATCTTTTAAAATGAGAATAGTAATATTAAGTGATTCAGTTGAAAATTATTCGTTGAAAATTTGCTTATTTTAATGTGTGTTATTAAAATTTATCATTCAATTTTAAAACTGCTTCTAAATTAAAAAGAAAAAAAAAGCAAAGACAAAAACAAAATTTATTATACTTTTTTATAGTATTAAAATTTTTATTCCTTAAATAATAATTAAATGGAAATTAAATTTGAAACTACTTCTTTCATTTTTTTTCGCACATCTATATAATTAGCATTTTTTTTTTTTTTTTTTTTTAAATAAAAGCAAATAATATTAAGTGATAAAATATATTGATAAAAAGAGAAGAAACTAATTTAATCTAAATTAATTTAAAAAATTAATAAATACTTTGGTTTGTTTGGTTGCTCGAAATGTTATCCATTGTAATCTGAATATTATCTGATTCAGCTAAACGTTTATAATTTTCATCTGCTTGAATCTGAAAAAAAAAAATAAAAAGAAAGGATTTGAATATTTTTTTTTTTTCTAATAAAAATTAATACATTGTATTTATTTACTTATTTTTGCTATATTTGTAAAAAAATAAATATAGCAAAAAAATTTTTATCGTTTTTTTTCATCAAAAAAAAAAAAAAAAAAAAAAAAAACAAAAAATAAATAAATAAATAAAGTGCAAAAGATGACTATTTCGTTTTAAATTTAATAATTTTTTTTTTTTAAAAAAAGAAACTAACAAATAATAATGTTACTGCTACCACTGTTATTATTATTGACTTAAAAACAAAAAAAAAAAAAAAAGAAATAAATTAAATAAAATAAAAGCTAATTTAAAGTGGAGGAAAAAAAAGAAACAAAATATTCTTGAAATGAATAATTTTAAATATATCATAAATCAAAATACTTCGAGAATAATTTGTTGTAAAAAAATTTAATACATTGTAAATTTTGCAGGATTTTTTGAAAGAAAAAATGTTCGTTTTTATTTTTGAGAACAGATGGAAAATATAATTTTAGATTAATCATATTTTTTTGACGTTTTTTTTTTTCTTTTTTTTGGAATTAAATGACTAGACATATTTATAAAATATTTAGTGATAAAAAATAAAAATTTTAAATGCCCTTTTTTGTTTGCACTCTGGTGGTTTTTTTTTTTTTCATATTGCATATTCTTAAATGTCACCCACATTGTCACCTTACAGAGTGAAGTGGTGACAAAAAGGACAATTCGATTAATATTTCTTCGTTATTTTTATGATTTCAGTACTTTTAAATAGCATACTTTTTAAAATTTAAGAAATAAGAAATGAAAAACTGAATAATTAGTATAATTTGGTTATATATAATATTTCTTTTTTTTCTTTTACTTGTTAAATTCAAAGTATAATATGAGGTATTCTATTAAAACTTTCAAAATTTAGTGTCACTAATATTAGCAATAAAATTATTCTTAACTAATAAGACCAATGCTTCTAGTTGAAAAGTAAATTTAAAAAGGAGAATATAAAAATTTCTGAATTTCTAAATATTTTCATTTAGGTAAGAAGTTGCTTTGGAATTATTTTATATGTTAGAGGATATTTTGATTAATCTAAAAACTATTTGAATGTATTCATCAACTGAAAAGAAAAACTTGATATTCTTTGAAATTTAATTTTTCTAAATTTCCAAATGTATACTTATTAGATAGTTAATTGATCAATTAGATCAATTAGTCAGCTAGATGTTTGTATAAAGCATAAACAAATGTATTCAGATAAATAATTATTTAAGCCTTAAATTATGAATTATGATAATTCATAACTTAAATTATGAAATAATCACTAATTTGAATTTATTATATAAAGAATACTTTAGAAATTATAGCGTAACAAAATTAACTTAAGTATAATAGAAGTTTATCATTTTTTTTTTTAAGACATTATTTCATCCACAAATCCACCCAAAAAATCATTATTATTAAATTAAACATTTTAAATTTGATGTTTATCAAAATAAAGGAGAAAATGCAAACTTAAGATAAAATATACCTTTTATGCTTACATATCATTGATAAGCTATCAATCATAACAATCTTAATGGATAAAATAAAAAGCTATAATATGAACTTTTACACTTCGACGCACATTTATGATTCATTTATTAATTCATATAAATTTGACAGTTAGTTAGCTTATTGTAAAATCAAAATTTATTCCTTTTAAAATCTAAAATTTAATCATTTCTTATAAATTTTCAAAAAACGAATAAATGTGCATACATTATATAGATTACAAAATTTGTTGATTGATGCAACAATTAAAACAAAAATTAAAATTTTTTAATTCATTAAAAAAATTTATATTTAGCAAAAATTTTAAATGAATTACTCAAAAGTATCAATTATTTCATTTGCAATAAAATAGCAAAAATTTAATTTGAAAAATAAGAAATATACGAAAAATAATAATGCAATGCATATCATTAAGAGATTTGTTTACTAAATGATATCTAAGGTTTATATGCTAAATGCTAATCGAAATTTGTTTACTAAATGATAAATAAAAGTTATAAATGCACCAATGAGAATTATAAACAAAAAGTCTTTGTTTTAAATACATTTGCTAATTTAGTAACATTATACTTAATTAAAGTTGCAGTAGAAATAAGTAATTAAATATCAAATTTCGATTCGATAAGAAAATATTAATGTGTTCGCCTCCCATAAGAGATCATCTTCTTGTCCAGCTGCGCATCATAAATCATTTCGAAGATTCTGTCAACTATCTTTATTCTATTTTGCCAATAATTCTACTTCTGAACCTTTCTTACATTTATAATGCTTATTTTGATTATTTCAATAATAGCCCTTCTTCCTGTTTATTTATTTATTTATTTAGAAAAATTTAAATGAAAACAACAAAACAGATGTGAAATAAATATATAAAAGAAATAGGACGGTGGTTGATTTTGAGCAATTTTCTTTTTCTTTTACTTTAATATTTTGTTAAATTAAGCATTAATTGAACTTATTTGAAAAAAAGTGCAAATAATATTTGAAATTTAGAAATTCAGAAAAAAAAAATTTTCTATTTTAAAAAAGAAGAAAAATTTTGAACTTATTACGAATGTTAGACAAAAATAAGTATGATAAATGGTTAGAACAAATAAAACGAAATAAGTTTAAGCGAAAAGTAATTTTTAATTTTGTAAACTATAATTTTAGATTTATTAACTTAAAATTTTCTTTTTTCTCCATAGAAGAAATTTATAAGAATTTTGCAAAAAAAAAAAATGAAAAATGACTAAAGTTTGAAAAATTAGAAAATCTTCTGGGAATTTTTTTGAAGGAATTGTCATTTGATAAAACTATTTATCTTAGAAAAATTTTAACCTATCAAAAATCAAAATTAGTAAAAATCAGATGTAAATTATAAAAATTAAAAAAAAAAAATTCAGGAATAAAGAAAAGGTAAAATACCGCTAAACAATGACATCCATTGCATTTTGGTGAAGATTTCGATGAATAATTTGTAGTCATTTTACTGCAATAAAATAATCAATAAAAAAAAATTAAATTCATTTAAATATTCTAATTTCATCGTAATAGCATTTATTACAGAAAAAGGAAAAACAAAAAATAAAAAAAAAAAAATCAATTCAAATATTCAAAATATAAAATAAATTTCATTTTTTTCGAAACTTTTCCATCACTTATCTATTACTGATTACTATTATGTAATTTTCCTAATCAATCAATATTTTCATATTTTAATCGAATATTTTCACAATTATAATTTATTAGTTTTCATGATTGATAGTATCAATTGTCTTAAAAGTATTTTATTTCATTTAAAATTTAAAAAAAAAAAAAAAAAACTTCAGGAAGAAAATAATTATGCAAACAATACGATGAATCATCATCCGATAATTGATAATATATAAAATTTTAAAAAGGTAAATAAACTTCAATGCATTGCACAATTATATGAAATGTTGCAATGCTATTATAATTTTTCAAATCTTTTAAAAATATTTTTAAACAAAAACATGATCATTCTATAATTTTAATTATAAATTTTTCATATAATTGATAAATGCTTAATTAATCTTCACATGCTTTCTTCTCTAAACTAGTTTATTAGAAATATTTTTCATTTCTTTCTTAAAAATATAAACTATGTTATCTAATTTGCTGAATATTAAAACAAAAAAAGTATGAAATGAAATAAATAAAAGAAATACAAATTTCAGTATTTTGAAAATGAAATGAGAAATGTTAGAATGCACAATATTTCCTTTTGAATTAAGTTGAATCAGAATTGACAACTGAAATTTGAAAAATAAATTTAAAAATGACAGCAAAAATTCAAACTGTAATTAAAAAGAATAAAAAAAAAACGAGTTCATGGTATAGATGAAATTAAATGTATTTTCCCACTAATTATAAACCGATTAAAATTTCATTCTTCCCATCAGTATCATTAAAAAAAAAACCATAGATTTTTCCAAATAGATATAACATTTTAATAAAATTAAGAAGCAAAATTTTCCATTCACAAAATGTATTTTTATTTTTACAAAAATTTTTAATTGGCAAATAATCTGTCTATCATTTCCTTATCAGAATTAAACTAAATTAATACAAAAATAAAAAATAATTTTAATAGAATAAAATGAAATGGTACAGAAATTCATTTTAATTTATTTTTTCCTTCGAAAAAAATAATAGCAGCGAAATTTTTGAATAAAACAATATATCGATTATTCATTTCCAAACATTACCTAATTTATGATATTTTTTTTTTTGTAAATTACAAAGTATTTAGAATAAAAACCTGCAAATTCATATAAAATATCAATTTTTAATTGCCTAAATAAATTCCCAAATATTTTTTTAATAATTCAAATACTTTGTTTCAAAAAAAATGAAAAGTTTTTAAGGAAAAAAAAAAAAAAAAGAAACGATAGAACTATTTGATGATAATTATTTTAAAATATGAAATATCTTTGGGAGAAGAATTTTAAAATGAAAATATTATACAATGATTATTGATTTTTTTCCTTTGCTTTTAATATGAAAAAAAAAAAAAAACGAAAAAAAAACGAAAAATTCATTTGATAAAAAATATTAAATTTTTATATATCTATTTTATTTGGCAAAAATTAATTTAAATAATTTTTTAAATTTCAAAAATTTTTCTCATCTATGAAAAGAAATCCTAACATTTACATGCTTATAAATTTATTGAAAAAAGGAAAAAAATATTGAATGCTTAAATTTTTTCAAATCTTAAAGTTTTTTTAGAAAAAAAAAAAAAATGTAAAAAATACGAAATAAATGCATAGATTAATAAACATAAACGATTGATTTGCATTATAAAATAATTAAAAATTTGAATGATAAATTTTCATTTTTAAAGAATGAAAAGAAAAGCTGTTAATATTTTATTGTAAAGTAGGAAGAAAGCTAATAATAACCTTTTCTTACTTCCGGGAATAAACTGATCAAATGATCGATCATTTATTTGATTGGTGATCGAATCAATTCAATCCTATCAAAGCATTTTCACATATCATCATTTCTGATATTTTTATTTTAAAATAATAAAAAAAAAAAAAAATTAAGCTAATAAAATCACATAACGAGCAAATTTTTCAGCTAAATCAATAAATCGTTTTTTTTTTTTTTTTTTTTTTTTCCAATTTATTCTTTCATTTCTGATATTTTTACTTCATTAAAGTAAGCAAAAACAAATTTGAAAAATTGTGACTAATAATTTACTAAAAAAATGGATGAAAAAGAAATGTGAAAGAATTAAAATTTTTTGTGATAAATTTTACAAAAATGTGCAAAATGGGGCAAAAAAAAAAAAAAAAAAAAAAAGAAAAAGGAAAAAGGGAAGAAGAGGAAATCTCGTAAGCATTTAGCTGAAAATATATGAGTCTAATTTTCGTTTTGCATCAATTTTGAGAAGCTCAAATTTTAAATCTGATAAAAAAAAAAAGAGAAGAAGAGGAAGCATCCTTATCTTTTGCAATTTATTTTTCTTCACTTTCACATATTTCTGTTTTTTCATGTACTTTGAACAATTGAAACTTCAAATTAGACCTTTTCATTCATATTAAGTAAAAAAAAAAAATCATTGGTTTTATATTATTATTATTCCAATAATCGTTATCATTATCATACCATCATTATTATTAGTATGATGAAAATTATTATTATATGATTATTATTATGATCATATCATCGTTATTATGATGAAAATTATTATTATATTATTGTTATTATTATGATCATATCATCGTTATTATGATGAAAATTATTATTATATTATTGTTATTATTATGATCATATCATCGTTATTATGAAGAAAATTATTATTATATGATTGTTATTATTATGATCATATCATCGTTATTATGAAGAAAATTATTATTACATTATTGTTATTATTATGATCATATCATCGTTATTATGATGAAAATTATTATTATATGATTGTTATTATTATGATCATATCATCGTTATTATGAAGAAAATTATTATTATATTATTGTTATTATTATGATCATATCATCGTTATTATGAAGAAAATTATTATTATATTATCATTATGATTATATTATTATTATTATCATTATTTTGATGAAAATATTGCTCTTTTATGGTTTGCATTTGAAAAAATGAAACAAAATAAATGATTGCAAATTTTTATCTCACTTATTTGGTATCAAAATGATTACAATTTTCCTTTTTCTTTCTTCTTTTGTTTCTGCCAACTGTTTATTCAAATAAATTAAAAGTTCCGATCAAATCAAATTAAATCCGATCCGATCCGATCCGATCTGATATGATTTCAAATATTGTGTGTTGATAAAAAATTTTGCTGTTTAATTGTTAGAATTTAGGAAAAAAATAAAATTAAAATAAAAAATTAATTTGGAAAGTGAGAAAGATAAGACATAGTGATAGGCAAAAAAGAAAAGAATGATAAATAATTAACTGAAAAATTATTATATTATTTTTGCATTTCAGTGTAATATTTTGTTATCTATTTTTCAAAAAAAAAAAAAAATTTTGAAATTTTTAATTTTTTTAGCCATTTCAATGAAGTATTTCTAATCAAAAATATATATATTCGTTCACAACGATTGTTAATTAAATATATAAAATTTTTAATTTTAATTTATAAAATGTATGAATTCATTAACAATTATTCTTTTATAATTTAAAGGAAAAAAAAAAGAGTCATTGTAGGATATATTCTCCTCGTAGTTTGCATTGATTTAATATTAAGAATAACATTAATGATACTGCTAATTAATTAACATTAATTAATCATATTAAGAATGATATTATTTAATGAAACAATGCATCATCCGGTTGTTCAACCATCCAGACAATACATCATCCGGTTGTTCAACCATCCACACAATACATCATCCGGTTGTTCAGTTATTCAGGAACACATCTACTGCTGCTAGTATTTCTCTTCAGTTAAGCTTATTTAGCGAAGGGAAAACAAAAAGGGATGGCGAATTTTGATGAGAAAAGAATTGTCGCAGTCTTTTGCAGTCATTTTTTTTTCCTCTCTCTTCCACTCAAATAAAATGTTCAAATGAAAAGGGAATGCGAGACAAGAAGAGAGAGAGAGAGAGAGGAAAAGAAAGAAAGAAAGAGTAAGGAACGATTTAATTTGAAATAATCTAAGGCAATTCGACCTATAATCTTTACTCGTAGAAATTCTTCAAATTTCGATAGAAATGCAAATTTGTTGATAAAAGAAAAAGAGAAGAATTTTTGAGACAGAGAAAAAGAAGAAAAACAGAATGCATAATAGAATAATGTTATCATATCAGACTAAAAGTAATCCCGAAGGATTTACACTTGCTAGTAAGCCGACAGAACACATTTTCAGATAATTTTCCTAAAAAGAAAAAAAACAGAAAAGATTTTTATTTTGAGAAAAAATCAAATTTAAATAATTTATCAAAATACTATCATATTAATTTTGACATTTTGATTAGAATAAATGCAACAAATAGTTTAAAAGAAAATAAAATAAAATCGTAATTAAACACAAATTGCAAATAAGTATGACATGGAATAAAAAATTCTATACATATAAGTATGGTTATACCATCATTATTTATTAAATCAGTATTTAATTTTAATTTCTATACAATTTATTACACTTCTTTAAATTTCCATTCCCCATCATTTTGGAATTAAATTTACCATTTTATTTTATTATGAATCATACGAAATGATTTTAAGTTTACACAATGCACATAGCAACGAAAAAAATAAATTACAGCAGCAACTGGTGCAGATATTAATAATATTTTACTGTCATCAAAAAAAAAATGAAAAATTTTCAGCTTATCAATTCTTTTTTTTTCTTTTTTTGTTTTTTTAGGCAATAAATATTGTTATGGATTGCAGACATTCTCGTATAGACTTCTCCCAAAAAAAAAAAATAAAAATAAATAAATATCAAATATATCAACTAACGTTCATTCAAAAATAAGCAG